GGGGGGGGATTGTTCTTGAAAAGCCCAATCTCCTCTGAGCTTCAACCTGGTTTTTGTTACAACCAAAATCAGCAGGTCTGATGATCTCAGTGCCTGAGAAGGAACAGAAGGTTGAAGAAGGTCAGAGAAGTATGCAGGTGCAAGGCCATTAATGCACTTAAAGGTTAGCAGGAGGATTTTAAACTCTATTCTGACACGTACAAGGAGCCAGTGAAGGGAGGACAAAACCGGTGAAATATGATCAAGCCTCCTGTTAATAGCCGAGCTGCAGCAATAATAGGCGAGGACAAAACTGGTGGATTATCCTCACAGTCAAATCAAACCAACAGAAACTAAAATAAAACAACTGTTTTGTGTGTCAGACTTCAGAACTGGGGGTGACGGAGCACATCGAGGGGGATCCATGCAAGTTTGCTCTGTGGGTGGGACGAACGCCAACCTCAGACAACAAGACGGTACTGAAGGTAAGAGCGCCCCGCTCTTTATCTGAAAATTACCTCACCTTTAATACGTTTCAGCAAGATTATTTTCCACAAACATTTCTGAAGCCTTTTTCAGCGCAGAGTTAGAAAAACTCACCTTTAGATCATTTTATTCTTCTGTCAGGCGTCCTCGTTGGAACTGAAGCAGGAGTGGGTCCGCAGCATTCGACAGGTGATCCAGGAGAGGCGGGGTCACCTGCGGGGGGCACTGAGGGAGCCTATCCCTCTCCCCAAAACACCCAACCCCACGCTGGGACGACAGCGCAGCATCACCCGCAGGTCAGCTAAATGTCTGACTTTTTTACCTCACTTTTCCAACCAGTTTATTTCCAGAAGGTTCTGGTAATTTGTTTGGTTCTACCCTACGGTATCCAAAGTGTGGCCCGGGGGCCATTTGTGGCCCTTGGAGTGATTTTGTGTGGCCCACAACTGCAACTTAATGATGGTTTAATTATTTTATTTTAATTAAATATTGGATTTTCGGCAGATATCCGATATGCCAATATGTTAAAACTTATTTGGCCGATAACTGATACCGATATATTTCCCGCCTAGAGCTACTTACAGAGACTACATAACTTTCTCTGCTGTAGAATTAAAATACAATATTCTGCATGGTCTTTGTCAGTTTGACCTGCTACCAAATTCAGATGCCAAAAAGGGGACTGAAAATGATGTAACACTTCATCTTATGTTTAATGTCAAATTTATTCATGACATTTACTCTCTATAACACAATAAAACACTCAGTCATCTATATCTATATCTATATATATATATATATATATATATATATATATATATATATATATAT